AACAGCATCTTTTCTTTCTTTCCTTGCCATCAAAATGGAATAGTCCATTATTTATGAGGTATTGGCAGGGTGTAACATCGGTGCCTACTAATTAAGGAATGAACAAACAAGCAAAATTATATAATAATAATAATAATAATAATAATAATAATAATGCTTCATCACAGAAATTCAAATACTGTCAGAACATTATGGAAGAATATAGTATTGGGTCAAAATCAAATAGTGAAGAATGTAGCTCTATGAATAAATCTGAATGATAACTGCTTCTTAGTTGTCATTTATTGGTAAAATGTTATCTCTGTTTTCCTAAGTATAAGGTCTGCAACTTTAATTCTTTATTCTCGATTAAGGCATTTTACTTAATGATCCTAGAAAGCAAAAATGGCTGTCATTTTGCAATAAAAATAAGCAAAAATAAAATGAAAAAAAATTAATAAAAAATTAATAATAATGTTAGAAATTCAGATAATGTCTGCTTATATATATTTATATATATCTATATCTATAAATAAAAGAAAAAAACAATGCCAATGCATTTCATTTTTTGAGGAACATTATCAATGTAAGCATGGAAATTTTATTTGGTAACCTGTATTTATAAAAAGAAGTAATGAGGAGAACAAATATTGTTAAGTTTTAAAATTTTGAATTAGAGATCAATGTGCAGATTGGGACTTGTTCCATGATTTCCTTTGTGACGTCCCTTGGAATTAAATTTTTAATCATCACTGTGGCTTCATGTTTTTAACTGACTTGAAGGGGAACAACTACTGCAAGAAAAGTTAGGTCACTCTGTCATGCCAGAAGGTTTTTTCTCATCAGAGTCCATCTTACACATTTACAAATCTACCATTTGTCCATGCATTGAATACTGCTGCCATATTTGATCTGGTGCTCCTGCTACTCATCTCAAGATTCTTGACAAAATTCAAAGAAGGATCTGCAATGTAATCAAGCCTGAATTGACATCTCGACTTCAGTCACTTTCTCACCGACATGATGTGGCTTCTCTCTGTTTTTTTTCTACAAATATTTTCATAGCAACTGTTCTGATGAGCTTTTTTCCTCTGGTGCCTAGACTATGCTACTAGATTGGCATATAGGTCCCAACAATTTACTTCTACTCCAACAGTTTCTTTTCTCACACTTCCCACCTGTGGAACTCCCTTCCAGTTTCTTGCTTTCCCTGATAAATACAATCTTCAAAAATTCATATGCAATGTCAATCACCATCTTCTATCTTCTTGAACCCTGTTCAGCTTTTATTCTTCCTTTGTTCTCCCTTATACCCAATTTTTTTCTCTCACCTTCACTCTCTGTAATCCCCTATATACTAGTGGCATTCCTGCTTTCCTTGAGGTGAAATGATTTTAAAAAAATTCTAAAAACTTATTGTGTAAGAAATGGTAAACTATGGAGGATGCTAAGTGATATAAGTTTTTACCCTATTAAATGAAATTGGGTTAATATTGTTGCGGTTAATTTTTTTTAAATATATGTAATTATTATTTATTTATTTTTATGTATTTTTATTTTGTTTTGTGTTTATAAATTTAATTATTTTAGTTTTAATATTTAAGGGAGTAGATAGGTTTGCCTATAGTATGGTTCACACTCCTTTTAGGTCTTTTGAACAGGAGTAGAGGTTTATTCCTTATTCTCTGTTTAGGATTGGATTTCTGGTTCTTTAAAAAAAAAAAAAGATCATGAGTTAATGTTAATGTTCCAACCATGAGATCTTGGTTCGAATCACACATTGGTTGATATCCCAGAGGGTTGACTTCTAGATAATATGAACCTCAAGAGATGATTTCAAAATGTGGCACCAATGGGATGTGTCTGAAAACCAAACCACAGGTTGACCCAAGACTTGTGAGTGAAATTAAGGAGATGAAACTTTTTAAAGTAATTGATGCTTGTTACAAGTCACTGAGATAGATGACGGCCTTGTCCAAACAGATTATCATGCTAGATTATTCGTTCTCTCCCAGAAACTGTAACTAAGGTCTGCTCAGTTTAGTTGAAATATAAGCCACAGGTTGGCTGCTTGGATATTGATCAAATGCAAATGTGCCTGAGCAGGCATTTGCAACAGGAATTAGCTATCCACCCTAGCAGACACACCTACTAGACACCAGCGGCCAATCATACTATGCATGCATATCTGTATAAAAATCCATACAAATATCTGCGTATATGTGTGCATATTCTTATTTATTCTCGCCATGACATTGGCAATATATAATGAGGTTAGTTTGAGGAAATAATTGAGTTGCAATGATAACTCTGTCCACAAATGTAGAAAATGCTAACATATGCATGACATGATATTCTAAATAAATTTAAACAGCAAAAACAATAAAGAAGTTAAAAAGAAATGAAACCAGCGAAAAAAAAACTAACTCAAGGCATTTTATTCAGTTATGGTAATTGGTATATATGAGAAAATTTCTAGACAAAAGAGAGACAAGGCCTTATTATTCAAATAATTACATGTATGATATTAATTTATGACACACGGGTAAACATTTTGCCCCAGACTGTCATCCTCAAACTTTTTCCAGATCTTTCTTTTTTTTTTTTATTCTGCTTCTTTATACATTGCCCCACCATTTTTTTTATTTATTTTATTCTTTTCCTGTTCCTTCTCTTCTCTAGAAAATTCTTTTTTCTCTCTCTCTCTTTCTCTTTTCTTTTTCTTCTTTTCCTCAGGAACTTTTTCTTCTTTGTCCTTTATTCTAAATATTTAGTTCATTTTTTTTCATATTCATTCAATTTTCCTCTTCCTCCACTTTCTTCTTCTTTAAATCTTCTCTCTGTTATTTTTCCTTCCTCCATCATACTGAATTTGAAAATTTTTATATGCAACCTTTCTTGATATTTCTTTTCTTGTATTGTCTTTTTTTTTTATTCTTTCATTTTTTTCTTCTCTTCTTTGCTGCTATTTTTTCCTTTCTCCTCTGTACTGATTTTTTGTACACAACCTTTCTCAATATCACTTTTCTTGTCTTTTTTCATTCTTTCTCCTTTCCTTTATACAAAAATTTTCATTCATTATTTTTCTTCCTCTTCTTTCTAACTTCTAGTTGTTCAGTCCATTTTTATTCTTTTTCTTCCTCTTTCCCTTCTTTTCTTTTTCTTTCTTGTTAACCACTCCTCTTTGCTGCGTTTTTTCTTTATCCAACCTTTCTCAATATTTCTTTTCCTGTAGTAATTTGTCTTTTTTCATTCTTTCTCCTTTCTTTCATACAAAAGCCTTCACTCATTATTTTCTCCCTCTCCTTTTTAATTTCTCTCAACCATATTATATCCTGTTCATTTGTATTCAGTTTATTCTGCCTCTTTTCCATTTTGCTTCCATTTTAAATATTCTCTTTAAGATTTTTATTTTTTTTCTTCTCTTTTGTCTACCATATTTAATCTTTCTCTTTTCACTCTTCATGGCTGTTTTTTTTTTAAATCCTCTTCCTCTCTACCATATTAAATCAGATACATTGGTTGGAATGATATTTCATAACCGAGTACCATTATCGAATGCATGGGGGCAAGCGTAAACTCAATATGCAGGGCCTTTATCAATTAATGTGAAATGTGTCCCATGCCAGTTGCGTGAGTCAGCCATATTAGAGATTGGGTGATGTAATCAAGTTTACATCTTGAGGGGGACAATGTGGAATGCATTGTGGCAGAGGATGTATGCTATGCTGACCATCAGAATGCTGCCAACAATATTGTTGCTATTATTATTGTTGTTGCTATTATTGTAGTTGGCAATAGTATTAAAGATTATAGGGATGAGGCCTATGGTTAGTACATTCATAACTGGAATGTTTATGGCTTGATGTCAGTGGCAGCAGTTGATGAAGGCAATGATTGACAATAACCGAGAATAAGTGGATGTCGACAGTAATGGAGATCATTGTAACTGTCAGAATATCTATACTTATCAACGAGGCTTTTATATCCATAAGTCTTTTCCTTTTTTCCCCACTATTCTGGTTTCAATGGAGATTATGATTCTCAATTCAGTGTACCACTTTGGCATTTTTCCATTTATATCTTAACCAGAAGAACTGATTGAAGAGTCTAAAATTGAAGACAAAACTTGGTGCCACTGATTATCAATTTACAACCTTAACTCTTGTGTTATCATTATATTATTACAATAGGAAAACACTAAAAATCAGAAAGGAAAGGCTTGTTATAGGTCAGTGATTAAGGCAAGCATGGCTGAAAGTATAGAACTATATAGAACTATATAGAACTAATTCAATTTAGTTTTAATTTGATGTTATAAAGAATTAAAACTCAGATAAAGGGAGTTAAAAAATTCATAAAATAACAAACCTATTTTATTTTCAGCATAATTATTATACAAGAATTTGATAGACGTGTGACCAAGTTTTTAGAACAGTATTTCTTAAAAGATGTTTTTTTTTGAAGCCTCAGGAAGGGATTGGTAACCTTTTTCTAACTATGTGCCAGCTTGAGGTTTTAAAATCATTCAGTGTGCCAACAGCATACATATTTTTATACAAGCCAAGGTCAATATACCTGTTCTACAATATATTTTATATAGTAATATATAGCATATATACTTTACTATATAATAAAATTGAAACAGTTAAATATCTTTGCATTGTAGTAGTTATTGGTTCAGACTTTGTGATTATCATTTGCAGCTGTGTACCATTGGAAATTGCTTGGCATGTGTACCGTAGGTTGCCAATCCCTGGTCGAGGGATCTACAAGAGGTAGCTAGTGGTTCTCTGAGAAACAATGATAAATAGGTTAATGCATTTTGTAATAACTTTTGTTTAGTTTTATATTCATAATTTTACTATACATGTATCACATATTGTTGCAAAATCCTTGGTTTTAATCTTATTTTATAATTATACTGGTTAATTATATATATTTTTTTGAGAATGCTTGCAGATTTTTTTGTGAATGAAAACCTCAGTGTGAGGTCTTATGAACAAGCAATATATTTTTTTCATTGTCAATAAATTTGACAAAATAGGGGGACATTTTTTTCTTAAACCAGTTATGCCAAAAAATATATTATGCTTACCACATGAAGTCCAATAAAATTATAAAAGGGACAGATATTAATAATGGTATATATAACCATTTTTATGCAGGGGTTCTCTGAGACATGAAAACTATTTCAAGTGTTCTGCAATGGTAAAAATGTTGAGAAATGCTGGTTTAGAATGTTGTTATTCCAACTATGAAACATGAGTTCAAATCTCACCATGGTTAATTGCCAGGAAGGTGATTCATTGATCAGCTTGAGGAGATGATCCCAGCAGTCAACATCATTGGAAAGCACCTGAAAACCATCCCATGGTTTGACCCAAACATTGTGAGTGAAAGTAGGTAGATGGAACTGTTCAGAAGCGGGTTGTACTAACATAATTTCACAAGTCATCATGACTGAGGGTTTGAGAGTACTGGCCTTGTTCATACTGTTGATTCCGCCAGATTATATGCTCACTTCCAGAAACTGTAACTAAGGTCTGCTCAGCATAGCTGCAGTATTAACCACAGGTTGATTATGTGGGTGTGGAAGAAACAAAAACATGCCTGAGCATGCATCAGCAACAGGGATTAGGTAGCCATTCTAGCAGACAGGTCATATTCAGCTATGAGTGGATAACATTACATATGTAAGATCTTGTAGAAAAAAGAAAATAACTAGAGGTAATTGTCATGTAATAAAATTCCAAACATAATATCAATTAGATGTAGCTCAGTAGTACAAGTAAAGGACAAGAAATTTAGAGAAAATGATCTCTTCTATTAGGTTACAGGTTTGATCATGTTCATCAATGGTGAATCAATAAGTCAAAAAAAGATTTACTGAATCCAGTATTATATATATATATATATATATATATATATGCTTTTTTATTCTGCCAATTTTAAATCACTAATCCAGATTTATTAAACACCTGGTGAGGATGGAACTCACAAACAATGGCTTCCCTGATGAGTTAGATATTAATAACAGCAAGCATGAGATAATGGTGTTTCTAAAGCTGTCTTTTGTTCAGAAAATGGTAAAAATTTAGATAAATTAATGAGAATAGGAAACTAGAAATAGAAATTTGTGAAAAGGAAAGACCAAAAAAAAAAAAAAAAATTAATAAATGAGAGATATTAGTGAAGCATTGCAGGAATGGTAAAAACAAGAGATTTCCAAGCAGATTATTGATGATAAAGTCTTGAAAAGAATTGCAGGATTCTGAGAAGAGAGAGCGAGAAAGTGGGAGTGGATAGAAATGGAAAGATATAAAAATAAGGTCAAGGCAGTGATGAGATGAAGAAAATAAACAGATACGATGAACTTAAAATAGGAAAATTCTTCTGTTGAACATCATTTCAAAATCACTAGCAACATTATCATTCAAAATTTTCTTTGTCATAATCAGACTGTTCGTATGCATTCCAATCATCGCCATTTTTAGGATCTTCCATCACCAGTACCTTGAATGCCACCAACACCAAATTATCATTATCATTAACAAAACTATTATCCTTGTTCCTGCTATGATAATAACAACCTATGTTTTTTGTTTATTATTATTATCATCTATGATAGCGATAATACAGTTCTTTGTAGTTGTCTGAAGGTTTATTTACATTTTTTACACTCACTACTAATATTCTTATCAAGAGCAGTACCACATAAGAAGTAGACCAGATATCCCCAGTTATGGACAGTGCAAAGAGAACAATCTATCCCCATAAATTAAATAAAGGGTTCAATTCAAAATTCCCTGATGGTTACCTGGACTGACAATCATCTGATGATGGCTGATAGACACAATGACTGAAACATTGTGATAATAACAAGAAAGATGGGGAGAATAGCCCAAGTGTAAATAATGTCAATAATGATAACTCTTCATCCAAGAAATTCAAGCAGAAATCACCTTAATTTATTTAAACCCTGAAATTATATATATATATATATATATATATATATATTATTAATTTTTGACTAGTGTTCATGCCCAAAATTCTAGAAAGAAAACTTATTTATATTATTTATAGTGTGTATGTGTATGTGTGTATAAACACACATATTAGTGACTATATGTAATATCCAATGTCGATAACACTACTTGGAGTTTTATGCAGATAATGCAATCTTCAGGTGCATTCTTCAGGTATAAATTTACAAATAATGAATTATTTGTAAATTTAAACCATTTATATCTTTGGTCAGATGCGACTTACTGGTTAAAATAAATCATGATTTATTACTGTATTTTTGTGATGTGTTAATGATGTAATGGAATAACCTGTCATCCCCATGAATGACTACACTATAGGTAGTAACTATCTATAAGTATCTGTAAGCCAACAGACTACAGAGACTAGCTGTAACCTGTTCCAGCTAGACAGTCGAACTCTCTGCCTTGGGGCAGAGAGGAACCTGGTCGAGGCTCCACCAAAGGGCAGAGTCTCTTTCGGGGAGGTAGACTGCCCCTGAACCTGTTTATGCAGGTCCAAAAAGGGAATATTTTTGGCTGAGCATATGGGCTTGGAGAACCCACATTAAATCGGCCTTGTGCCACATGCAGCCCTCGTGGGTAGAGTAGCTAAATATACTAGCTGTGACCTGTTTCAGCTAACCAATCGAACACTCTGCCTTCGGGCAGAGAGGAACCCAGACAAGGCTCCACCAAAGGGCAGAGTCTCATTCAGGGAGGTAGACTGACCCTGAACCTGTTTATATGGGTTCATAAGGGAATATTTTTGGCCAAGCCTATAGGCTCAGATAACCCATGTTAAACCCAGCCTTGTGCCACATCTACCCTTGTGGCGGGTCTAGTAAATACCAACTAGCTGGGATCTCTTGAGTATGACTCGGACTTACGCAAGAACTACTAACCTTCCAATAGTAGGACTCACTACTGGATTGACTTGTGACGACCTTGTGCATAACTGTTACCTTTATTCTTATTGTACTGGTTTTTACAATAAACCTTTACTTATTTTATCCACCTTGTTTTTCAAGTATATATTCCTATTAGCACGGAATATAACAGTTAAGTTTTCCATTGATGTGTATATATATATATATATATATATATATATATATATATATATATAAATTTTAATACATAATGTTTTTTCTCAATTAAACTTTATTTGAATATACAAGATTTTTCTTAATAAATTGTCTATCTTTGTTGTTAAAGAAATTTCATCAAGTCATGAAATGTATCATCTTAAAAGTTTTTCTTGTCATTTGATTTATTAATAAATATATACAGTGTGTGATGGATAAGTTGTCAACATTTTAT